TGTTCAAATCTTTAACGTAACAATTTACTTTTTAAAGGTCATCACATAAAACTTTGAGGTAAAAACGAATTATTTGTAGAAAACTAGGCATGTATTATTGAGTCTTACAGTTTGAATTTTAAGTAAAGTAGGGTATAAATGTAACACATCACTAAATCAAATGTACTGTCTATGAAAGATTTCTTTTTTTAACTCTTTATTTATAGTTATATTTACTTTACAAGAAGTATGAGTAATGCGAAACAAAGAAACACGCCTCATCAAATACCTTCAATACAAAGCATTTTCTTTACTGTCTGTGGAAGATGAACCGTTTCCCTTTTTTACGTATCTTTGACCGCAGAAGGTACGATCAATCTATCACAATATCTCTGAAGAGCTCTCACTCTGAAGAATATTATGTTATGAAGTGTAATGATGGTGTGGTTGCACCGTGTCAAGGACCGTCTCAACCAGTGGAGAGAGAGAGAGAGAGAGAGAGAGAGAGAGAGAGAGAGAGATTTGTCCTCTACTCTTCGTTGCTCACATCTGTGTGGATGACACATGCAAGGCTGTTTGTGTGGAAGGGAGAAAGAGAGCATGCTGGGTAGGAGGTCAGCTCCATGGTGCATTCCTTCACACCCCATCAGCATCTGGATGAGAAGGAGGGTGGGGAGGGGAAGGAGGGAAGGGTGTCTCAAGGGGCTTGGGGAGGAGCTTTCTCTCCCCCCCTCTGTTTCTTTATTTCTTTCTCTCACCCCCCTCATTGGAGAAATAAAAAAAGACGTTGAGGGGGGGTTTGCAGAACGAGCCACGAGTTTAGCCCCTCGCCCACTACATTAAATGCACAGGGTTGCCTTGGCAACGGAAACGCCGCCATGGCAACACATGTAGTGTAAGGCAGGTGCTGTCGCGCCGTGGAGCCATTTGTTGGGTGAGAGCAAAAGGGGGGGGGGAGACGGTCTCCCCCCCCCCTTTTGCTCTCACCCAACAAATGGCTCCACGGCGCGACAGCACCTGCCTTACACTACATGTGTTGCCATGGCGGCGTTTCCGTTGCNTCAGTGTGGACCAACGATTGAACGATAAAAAGACCGGCTCTCACCAAGTACGACTCGGTTCCCTCGTTCGTACCAAAGAGCCGTTCAAAAGAATCGGCTCGTTCGCGACCGATACATCACTACTCCCCCCGCTGTGACGGACCGTTAAGCGGAGCAAAATACACTAGAGTTAGACCTAACACACTCTGGAACTAGCTAAACTAGTTATAAATATATTTATTCTTTACTGTTGGGTAACTCATGACTGGATCAGTGAGCTGCATGAGAGACTGAAAGGCTGTCAGGAGAGGGAGAGGAAAAGAGAGCACCCCGTTTATTTCCCCCATTGTATTATCCAGAATGACTGTAAACTTTTGAATAAGTTAATCTACTATTAGTAGTTTGTTTAAATGCATTAGGCTACTTGTGTTTTTTCCATTAGCATAAAAATAAATCTCACATACCCCCTGCAGTACTCCAACGTACCCCTATGGGTCCGCGTACCCCCATTTGAGAAGCACTGACTCACGGCTCCTACACACGGCGACGTGCGTTGTCGCTTGGGCGGCGGGGGGGGGGGCTGAAACTCGACCAACAACCAATCACATGAATCTCCCGCCCCAGACACACAAGCAAGCGGTTTGATTGGCTAGAGCTTGTACTGGCATATGATTCGATTAGCTGACGCCTCCGTCGAGGCGGCAAAAGTAGAACATTGCTCTACTTTTGCAGCGAGCACCGCGAGAGAAGCTACGCTTTGCTCCCACAATGCAGTTCGGCGAATCGTGACGTCACCCCATTCAAAGTGAATGGGCAGAAGCGTTGAAGCGGCAACGCACGCCGTCGTGTGTAGGCTCCGTAACTATCTGGGGAAGTTGTGAGGTGATGTTTTTTGTTTGTTTTTACTTTTTCACCTGCAATGCCTTGGTAACTGTATGCAAATGAGCGCATTTTAATAGGCCTAGTTAACGCCTAATTTGCATATCATGGCGATTCTGATGACGTTATTATATACACATTTGACTGTATTCACTTTAAGTGTCTCCCCTTAAGTACAGTACATTAGCCTGCATGCCCATGATAAATTGTCTTAGCTAAACCTAGCTGAGCTAACTTATCCATTAGCTAGTAGCCTACCTTAGTTAACCATATGTGTTATTGTCTTTTAGCTGATTAACTGTAAACTCGAGGCACTAGTAATTTGTTCATCACCACTCACTTTCAAAAGAGAGAGCATCGGAAGTTCACAGTCTAATCTCCCGACCCGATATTTTAATTTTGTATTCAATCAATATATTGTTGGAAAGGGAAACTGTGTGCAAACAGCAGTAGATATATATTCATAAAAATAAAAAAAGGGGAAAACAAGGGCACTTTCTCTGGAGGAAGAAAAAGGGCAGGGGCTCAAGCCCACTATGATGTCTATGTGTGCACGTGCCTGATCGGTATGGAAGTGACCATGTCGGCAGGCCACATCATTGTAGACAGACAGTCAACCTGTGTGAGGCAAACCCACATTTGCGCAGCGTTGCGTTCACAATACATTAAAACAAAACAAAAATCGCCAGACCAGCAGGCCAGGCCACTTAACAGGCCAGGCCTGGATCATTATATAATATTGATAGGGAAAAAGGGATGTTGTTGTTAATATTAAAGTTAATCTTACCCTATCTCTTATGCTATTGCCTTCTTTTTTTTGTTTTACATTAAGTTACAAATTAATCAATATTTTTGTACTTACTAATTCATAGTGAAAACCTTTAAGAATACATTTGTCAAATGTTCACCCTTTTGAAGCCTATTATTCATAAAGAATGATAAAACCTGAAAACCTCTTTAAAGGTACACGTTTTTACACTCCACTATATTGGAATATTGTATACTTTTTTACTATACTGCGATCCACTTAAAATGGATTATTCCATCAAATAAATTCAATTTTTTATACAATTAAGTTTGTTATATTTGAAATTAGATCTCAGTAATAGCCAACAGCAGTTCTTCGAAAAGGGAATATGTAAATCCTTTGTTTCTGTTTCTTTTCCAGAGCTCTTCTCTTGTAGTAACATCTTGTAGCCACAAGAGGGTAATCACATCACGTTGCAGAACTCCAAGAAAACAAGCTCGTCTTCTGATTCCATGACACACAAGACACACACTCACACACAATCCATTCACTTTGTGTACCTTGCAACTATTTGAATTCAATAAAAGGGAGGATGGAAATGATGTTTGGGATAAGCCATGTGTACAGCTTCTTTGTGTTTTAATCAAAAACACACATGTGCTGACTAGCAGGGGAGCATTCCCCAAAACAATAAAGCTTTGCAGTAAATGAGAGCTGACAAGAAAACGTTACCTCCACTTCTGTCTCCATGGAAACTTGCCTCACTGGTCATTCTGTGGATATGGATGCTATAGACCAGGGGGAGCAGCGCTCTGTGTGCATCCATCCACTCAGCACTTCCTGCTCCAAGATTGAATGTCACACAACTGATTTAATATGTATTTCACTGAAGGGAAATTAAAGGTCTCTCTCGCACTGATGACAATATGCTTTTGGATTCACTTGTAAAATAAATCTTTTGGGGAAAAGAGTGTTTTTCTCAAACTGTGACATGTGATCAGAGATAAAGCAGCTTTATGTCGCCATACCGTTCTTTGAGTCTCACTCTTGGTAACTGAGTGGTGTGATGCCCTCTAAAGATCTACAGAATGCACACTTTTCTCCCCCCTCTTTCTTTGCAGTAGTTGCATAGCAACAGAGGAGCTGCTAGCTCCAGTTGTGTTGGTGGTGGGAGCGCACTGCACAGGGAGGCACTGGCTCCAGATTAAGCCTGTCTCGGCTTCAATTATGAATGGGCTTCCACTGCCACACAGCCCTTAAAATGGCACCACTCAGGCTGATAAGACATTGAGGAACTCTTTGGTACACTTAACTCTTTTACACCTTTCCCTTAAGGGTGGGGGGGGGGGGGGGGGGGAAGTGGAGTTTGACTTTAATCAGAAGTATTGAACTTCAATGATTGGAGGAAGTAAATGAATAATTAACTGGCGGAAGAGGCACGGTTATGATAAGACCCTTGTTGATGGGAATATGTGAGGTTAATGATTGGGGTCAGTCTTGAGAGCAAATGAAAGAGTCTCCAGTCTCACAAAGCCAGTAAATGGGGGTTATTGTGTGTTGCATGTTGGAGTGGTGAAAGGGAGGGAGGGGGTTAGAAAGAGTGATATGCTCTCTTGTAATCCTTGACTATATTTAACTCTGAACTTTGAGAGAAAAACGGTTAAATTGCTGCTTGTTTGCCCACATGAAGTGCCCACCAGTGCTGCAGTGATTAAAGAAAACTACACGCATGAAATGAACGTTTGCACATCAATAACTCACCTTGAATTATTGAAGTAAACTTTATTCTTCTCGCATGCTTCCTTAAGAAAAAAAACGAATCAAAATTTGTGATGAATTCATATAAATGAGGCCACTTTTAACAACAGAAAAACGATATGAATAACCCCTTTCATAGATTCTGAGACAACTCGTGCAGTATACATCTGGATTATTCAGCCATACGCTCCCAACATATGCAATCTCAATAAACCCTTACCATAAAAAACATTTATAAAGATAAAGTCTCAAGCTTAGAAAGGCGCACTACATGTCCATGCAATCAGATTCAGAAACAGCTTTATGGCCAAGTAGGTTTACACATACAAGGAATTTCCCTTGGTGTATATGGCCCATACATAAACACACAGCTAAAACCTTAATAAGATTTTAATGAAATTTGCTTGTTTTTTATTTCATTCTTCGTTCATAGCGAAGGTTTGCGAGAAAACGTTTTTTATGTTTTTAAGGTATGTCATTCATATAGTCATTTTGTTGGTAAAGTATTCCTTTAAATGCGTCACAGTAGTCGACATGGGTTTTATTTACCTAAAATTATGGTTTAATCTGTGTCTTTTTTAAATGAATAGCCAAACTAATCTTCTGCAACTTGTATTTTTTATTATTGCAACCAACTGGAAGACAATACATCACATAAACATCATTGCAGTTTTTCAGAAAATGGAAAACAAAATAAAACAACATTTATATATTTTTTGCCACGGTATTGGACAACGTTGATATTTACATGTAGTGATGAAATAGGTCTTGAAATCATTCTTTGGCAATATGATTGCACAATAGGGAGAGAATTGAACATTAACTGAACAAAAAACAAAAAAAAACAACTACACCCGGGAGCACTCTGCATCACATCTCACAGATCAATAACAGTTTTGCATTTTGACATCTCTAACCTATGGCTTTCCAATACTCAGACAGTCACTAAAAAAAAAATGGCAGTATTGTAGATAATTTTGTCAGAGAGAGAAAAACAAAACAGAACATGAAAACGCGCATAACAAAAGAAAATGGCAACTGTATATTTTAAGAGGCGTTTTATTTGTATGTTTGGCAGGTTTGAAACTAACACTTGTTTTAAGGGGCTTTTTAGGCAGTGAAGTATATTTCCTTTGCTTTAATAGTAGCCTATATTTGTGTGTTTTTGCAGGACTCAAAGGTCAGGAGTTCATCCCTCCTGCATGTCACCGAGTGAGTCAGAGGGAAAAAATGTGGATTGTGTTCCCCTTCGACATGCCTCTTGCCAGCTGAACACGTTATTAGTCACCACAACAGTGGATTGTTGCCACAAATACAGCATAGTGCTTGACCTGGGCCGCGGGAGCACTCTATGACAGATATCAGATGAGAGACGGATGGCACACAACAAGACAGTGTCTCCTTTTAGCCTTTTTTTTTTAATATGTCGGCATGGATACCATACAAATGCGAAGCCAGTGATGCATGCTACAGGTGGCAAAAGACTGTACCGGAGGGTGGGACATGCATTTGTTTGCCTGCTTGGCTCGCTGACTATCACTCGACAAAGAAAACAAAATAAAACTTGTGACTACTGCTACAACCAAACCCAGCATGATTTTATCCTGAAAAGCTGCAAGTGGAGGGCATTCAATACTTTATGCATTACTGTTTGTGGAATAATAGAGTGGTGCAGGAATGAATCCTTAAACCCAGGATTGAGTTCGCATTTTTGATTCCCTCGTCTGGAAGTCAACGTCTTTTTGAACGTGTTTTTGGATGCCTAAAATAAGATCTGTGGTGAACACAAGCTTAAGAGATTTTCAGGTTGTGTTTTACGACATAAAATAAGTCAGAAAAAACCCCACTGGTGTCGTAAAAATTGCGATTTCTTTAAAACAAAAAACTACAAATCGTCATCAGGTCGAACGTTAGCCGCCGTTAGCTTGGCTGTAGTGAAGTAAAGTCATGCGAGCGTAATGTAGTTTTCTTTATAGCATAACGTTGGCATTTTAGTTAATTTACGCTCTAAAAATCATTAAAGGGGTGTTAATTTGTAGAGATAATACTGCTCAACAAAAATTATACATTTCATAAATGTGTGTTTGCCACAGATCTTATTTTCTGCAATATTCCACAATCCAATGGAAAAATCCTATTGTTTTTTTGTCGAGGGAGCCCTAGCTATGCTAACTTCCCTGTCGGCCTACAGAAATACGTCATCACCGCACCACTCTATGGCAGTGTGGTATTTATATCACTTCTGATGCAAAAATGTCAAAGCCCCCAACTGACCCTTGTGGATTTCCATGATATTGTCTTGTAGATTGGCAAAATATATTTAAATGAACACCTCCAGACAGAGCTCTTGAGATAAATATGTATACAAGGTTGACATCCACAAGTGATTCCTTTAATCAAAGGGTATAATACTGTTTGTAAATTTAAAAAACGATGCCATCTCCTACATTCCTCTTTCTTTTCAACACCTATGTTTGGAGATATGAGGTTCTTTCAAAGTTTCCCATGCCCGTCCGATCCAAACATTTACACTGACTATGCCGATGGGAAAATAAGGACACATGTACATTTACACACAGGAGAGAAAAAGTAAACAATACTGTTATAAATAAAGACGTGAAACGTTCTGACATGTCGGGGGGGACATGACGACAGAGGTACTGAGGGCAGGCAGGCAGGCAGGCACAATGTTAAAGGGTGTGTGTGTTCCTGGGCACACAAACAAACTCACACACTCTACAGATGTGTTCTGAAATAACACTGGGGTTAACATTGAACACCTAAAAATCACTGTACAGGCAGAAGAAGACGGAAGCCCACCCCTAAGAGGTGATCCAGCTGGCCTACAGAGCCTGAACCCAAAGCCCGAGAGGTGCAGAGTGATCCCCCCCGCTCCTCCCTGAAGACGTGTCTTTGAAAGCCCGCTCAGAGGAAAAATAGAACCCAAAAAGATTCAAACTAAACAAAAAAACAAACAAAATAAATCCATTATAATCACGGGTATAAGAATTGGCGGCAAAACTTTTTTTCTTTCCTCTAGGATCAAGGTTTATATGAAAATAAGTCATGCTTCATGCTAAATACATTGTTTATCTTACATGATCTTTGAATAAAAAAGATTTGCTTTTTATCTTATTTACAAGCACCCATGCAATATAACTGAGAAAGTCCTGCAGGTCAAATTGCTTCAATTAAGAAAGGAAAAAAATAAAATATTTTCTAACCTTTTTACAGAGTTGCCCGCGTGGGACAAATTGCTTATATCTTTATGAGGAAGAGTGAGGGTAAACAGACACAAACAGAAATCTAAAAACCCACAGTTCATGTATATAGTTAATTTGACATTGTCAAATGAATAGGAAGGTGGTTGTAGCTAACTGGTAGCTACCATATCTATACCAAGTGTCTACGTCTATGGACAGAAGTACTGGGGAAGATTCAGGGACGTTTTACATTATGCAACAACAACAACAACAAAATGAAGGAGATATTGCCTCAGACCCGGCACACTATCCATCTCTATGGTGATAAACATGACAATTTTTTTTCATTTTAAAATATCTATTCTTAAATACTATGAGTGCTCTTGAAATAAACCCCATGATGCTTCTATTATAAGTGGTGTTAAATAATCTTAAGTGCATGAATATATATCACATTGGGTTTTACAATTATTTTTGACGCTTGAGGTCGTCCTCCCTTAGCTCTTCTTTACCGCTATGCCTTCTTTATATTTTTTCATTTTTTGTCAGCTGTCGTAATCGGCTACATGAAGCAACCTGGTTGCTTTATCTTTGGCACAGTCTCACATTTGTGCTCGTGGATGTCGGAGAAGTGCGAGCGAGCGAGCGTCCCGGGGAAGAGCGCCAAGTCTCGTTTTTGAAAAAGGCTCCGCTGCCGTCGTATTTTTTTTCCTGGCATCACTGCGAAATTGCTACAGATTCACATAGAAACAAACAGGTAAGACAAACAGCCATCCTTTGTGTTCGTGCACTGCGCGCTCCTCAATGTGATTTGGTTTTGTCGCGTCGTCCAAATTAGTGACAAAACATGCGTTGTTGTGTTTTTTTATGGCTTTCATCCCCTTTTTAAACAACGAAAACAACAGAGACACATGAGAAATACCCATCGATGTTAGTGTTGCTGAACATGTAGGAAAACATAGATTTTTGATATTGCCACAAATAAGTAGGATTCACCTAATGCCCTGCAGATAGATAGAGGGAGATGAGACGTGTCCGTAGAGACTAATGCTGTAGTTACCTGTTGACCTATTTGTGTGTGTGTGTGTGTGTGTGTGTGTGTGTGTGTGTGTGTGTGTGTGTGTGTGTGTGTGTGTGTGTGTGTGTGTGTGTGTGTGTGTGTGTGTGTGTGTGTGTAGCGTCCATTTTGCGTGACTACGTGTGTGTTAGTTTCTCAGGGCCTCTTTCTGCTCCTTCTGGCCCTTGGCGGTGCGGTTTGTGATGTTGTTGAGGCAGGCTCGAACCCCCGCCAGGTGGAGCAGAGACCCTGCCGCCTCCTTCATCTCCTCGTCGTCGCTCTCCGGCGGCTTCTCCACCGCCGCCGCGCGCCGCTTCTTCAGGGGCAGCGTGTCGCTAATGCCCCTCGCTCGGTTTTTGGTCCACAAACTGCTCCCTGCCAGAGTCCCAGCGCCCGGCCCCGAGCTACGTCTCTGTCCGCGCAGGGACTGCTGGGAAATGTAGTTAGCAGCGGCGGAGGTGATTTGAGAATCCAGCGAGATCTCCCGGGGCTCGGGTTTGACGTCCGATTGGATCTCCACTGCGATGATGTCGTCGTCGTCGTCCATCCCGGAGGAAGGGGAGCAAAGCCTGCTGGGGGATTTGGCGGTGCTGTAAGTGTGGTCGTCCTGGAGGTCCTCGCTGCAGAGTGGCGGGGAGTAGCGGGACGGGCTGTCCTGTCCTCGGCTTAGATAATCTCCCAGGGATGATCTGTATGAGGCAAGGACAGGAGAAAGTGTTACTGCCAGCCAGGTGGCCCGCTGCACCCCCCCACTCCACCGAGGCTCTGCATTTGGCTGCAAAGCAAAAAGAATCCATGTGATAATCTATCAAACTCAAATAGCCCCCTAGGGCCTAATTGTGCATATTTTTCAGGTCAGATTCAAACCTACGAAAAAAAGAGTCAGCCTACCCTTTTTTTTCTTTTTGGTGAAATGACTCATTCTCAGATTGCCACCTATGCATTTTCCTCATGACACTGTGCATTTTGAGCATGCTCCCTGAGGTGCTGAAACATGCTGAGCACATAAAGAAGCTTTTGAAGTGAGGATGAGAATTCTGCAGCCGTTTAACCGCTATGCGCTTTGCATCAGCCGCCGCATTACAGTGCAACACATGTTGTTGCTCCTGTAGTCAGGAGACACTTTTCTCTGTACGGAGTTAAAGGACAGGGGTGTTCTCTGACAAGCGATACATCTAAAAGGAGCTTCTGCAGCCTGCCCTGTACCCCTGGACATTTCCCCCCACCCTCAGAATAAGAGTTAGCATATTAATATCTTATAAGAAAAGCATGCACCCCTTACAGTGATCAAATATTCACTGCATACCTTTAGTGAGACTTTGGCTATGTTTAATTCATTGTGCGGTGCAGGCCATCACACTCTTGTGCTGCTATGATGGATGTGCATGTCCAAGCACGCTCCGAATGTTCTTTGAATCATGAGTCCTCTCCCTCTAATAAACCTGTTTGTGTGTGTTTTTGTGTGTTTGTGTGAGACCGTTATATAAACACACCTGGATGAATTGTCTGGAACATCCAGGAGCGTGTGAATGCCTCTGACTTTTGGACATAATAAAGATATAATTATGTAAACTATCCGTGGAAAGTTTTTGGTGCGAGGTCTGTTTTGTGTACGCGTGCATATTTGTGTTTATTTGAGGGCTACTTTGTGTGAGCTTGTGGGTGTGTCTGTATTTGACGGAACACTTTAAAGGGGCCCTATTATACTTTTCTACTGTAGTGTGTTATATAGGTTTGTGTAGTTGTAAATGGTTAAGGCTAAAATCCTAAAGTTCCCTCCAGAGGGAGTTTCTCACCCACACACTCCTCCCCCCTGCCTGAGAAGCCTCCATTTGACTCCTTTGTTTACTTCCGTAACATAATGACATCACTACGTAACACCTGTGCTTCTAATGGTTAGCACTCAAAACCAATTTAAGTGGTAGGCTAAGGGGCGGGACAGCTCTAAGCGTTTGACAAATCACAACACAGCCGGCTAGCTAACCAATCAGAGCAGACTGGGCTCTGGTTTCAGACAGAGGGTGAAAAGAGGTGCTGCAGTATGTTTAATCAAGTAGAGGATCTGAGTACTTTTTCCACCTCTGATAATACAGTAAACAGGAGAAAAGTAAACCCACCTTATGGCTGAGGTTCTGCTCCCCACAGGGCTTACAGGTAGGGGTCTTATCACAGGAAAGAATGCCTGGCTACGGATACGGGCGCCATTTTGAATCACACCACGGGGAACTAAAAGAGAGAGAAAAAAGCACTTGTTAGAAGTTATACACACAGATAAAACCACAAATCACATGCAACACAAACATCAGTTTCAAAGTAGGAAGGAAAGATTCTTCAAGACCCGATCGGACCTAGACTCCGGGAGCAGCTCAATGAGACTTCACTGGCTGTCTGAGGAGGCCAACAGGGCAATATTGATGAGCAAGGCAAGGTTAAATTGAGCGGGAAAGCGTCATAAATGAGTTAAGGCCGCTGCGAATCATTCAATTACCAACGACCGCTGGGCTCGGCTGAATCCGGCCTGTCTGAGGCTGTGGACTGAGCAGCAGGCAGCGAGAAGTTAAAGGGCAATGCCGCACCTTTGAAAATGTGCAAGAAATTACACATTTGTCTTTGAAACTTGGATAAAACGCATACAATGACATTTTTTTAGTGAGCCACATACAATACTCCAAATTCAAAATGTATACCTTTATTATTAGTATTTGAGTAAGATTCTTTCCACTTTTCCACTGTTTATTATTTTCTCGATTTCAATACGATGCGATTTGAATAGGCAAAAAACACAACATTACAATCAATAAGGACGATATGTTTAAGAATTGTTAACCTAAATTAAACCTGAGATTAAGATTGTCAGAACAAAGTAAAGTCTAAGGAGCCCAAAATCATCAATCAAAACCCCAAAATGTTTAGTTTAATAACATTGAGAGGCCAGAGAAATGGGGGCATTTTTCCTGAAAAAAGATGACTGAAACGGGTAATTAATTATTACAATTCTTGCCGGCTATTCATTTCCAGTCAAATAATAGTTTCAGCCCTAATTAGGTACACCATTTCATTTTACCTCTATCAATGACGCTGACTTGAAGGTGAACAAGATATGAATTGGAAATGCATCTGTATAAATCTGTCCGACAGCTTACTAAGAATGACAGAAAAAAGTAATGAACGGACTGTTTCGTTGAGACATAGATTTGTGACAGAAACATTTCCCAGGAGCACAGTGGGCTCCATCATTAAGACGTTTTCAGAAATTGTCCATCTGGTCAACACTTACCAGGCAGAAAGGGCCTTGGTCAGGGAGCAAAAAGGAGAATAAATGGTCCAATGGCCTTGGTAACAAATTGTCAAGGAAACTAGAGAATCTACCAGAAGGACAACTCTCCAGTACTCCATCTAAGAGCCATTTCACTCTGCTGAATGAACAAGCATATGGCAACCCACCTGGAGTTTACCAAATAGTGCTTTCTCTGATCTAATGAGACAGAAATTGAGTCCCCGGGTCTGAAATTTCAACCGGGAAAAAACACATACTGCTTATCACCTGGTGTCACTACGCTGCACAGCACGACTTTGGCTCCATCATATAAAACACAGCCGAGTAGACAGGCCCTCGAAGAAAAATGCAGCGAACTGGGATTAGCCTTCCAGCAACACAACACCCCGAAGCACACATCCAGGATAATGGACTGGCTTTGGAACAAATCCCTGAATGTCCTCGAGTATCCCCACCCAAAGCCTGGACTTGAAGCCATTTGAAAATCTGTGGGGAGACCTGAAGATCGCAGTGCAGCAACACTCCTAATCCAATCTGACAGCTGGTAGACGCAGGATTTACAGCTGTAGTCCCTGTCAATGTATTCTGCATACTGTAGTGACATTTCAGTTTGGATTTTTAATACATCTGCACATAAGGAATAGATCGACTTACTGGCTACGGCGAGAAGATAGATACCACTCTTGTGTGTGTATGCTAAACAACAAGCTAGAGGTAGCAGCCAGCTAGCTTAGCATAAAACAGGAAAAGGTGGATGTGTCACTTCTATACGTTTTTCACAGATTAAACAAACAAGATATAATGTGTTTATTAGTAAGCTCTTAGTGTGCCTGGATATATCATTTTGATATATTTGGAAAAAGCCAGGATAGTTTCCACAGACTCCCATCCTTATGCTAAGCTAAGCTAACAGGCTGCTGTGCTTTATAGTCATGGCATGAGTGGTGTCAATCTTCTCATCCAACTCTCAGCATGCTAGTGAATAAACTTATTTTCCAAAATGTCATACATTTTTTTTAACATTTGTATGTTTTCACTATTTCATAATGAATAAGGATTATGAGTAGACCAGTGTGAATAACGAACATTTTAAGAATTCAACTTGTGATGCCATAAAGATTTAAAATCAACTTGACATGGAATTAATTTAACCTTCCATTGTGTCCAGGGGGATTTCTGATGACAGTGGAACATCTTTCTGGTTCAGAACTGTCTCAGTATTAAAAAAAGAATAACCCTTTTAACCACCATCAGATAATAGCTTTTTCTTATTCAGCTTTATATTTTCCATCAAGGTCAAAGTCATGACTATGGTTTCCTACTCCCTGACAAATAAAAAAAATACTGAATGGACTGTTAAGCTCCAGAAGGGACATCTATGTTGATGCTTTCAACTCTGCAACAGCTGTACATCTATATCTATATCTTTATTGTCTGTGTTGCAGAGGAGAAGAGAGGTGAAAAGGAGAGTGCGTGTGTTCATCTGAGCCAAAAGCTCTCATTACTCAGGGTCGGCCACTCACCACCACCGCCATCCCAGCTCAGTAAAACAGCTGTCATTTTCATCTCGGGGTCAGTTTGCATTTTGCACATGACGACCTGCTGTTTTCTTATTCTGCAGCAGAAGCAATATTTAACTATAGCTGAATAAACTGTAGCTTGAGTTCTATTTTTATAAATCTCAGTAAAAAAAGTGGTGCAGTGATGATGTATGTTTTAGGTGGCCCCGGAAGTTGGCATCGCAAGGGCTCCTTTGACAAAAAACAAAGGGGATTTTTCCCTTGGGTTTTGGAATATAGCATAAAATAAGATATATGGCAAACACAAGTTGATGATATTGACAAATTTGTCCAGAAGGATAATCGCCCCATATTCAAATATTTGTATAACAGTTGAAGCGTAAATGCTGGAAGTAAAAAGTGAACGTTTGGCTAAAAACAATATACATCACAGTTGCATCACTTTGCAACACTGCTAAGCTAACGGCGGCTAACGTTTGACATGATGATATTTAGTAGTCTTATTTAGTCACTTGTTCGCAACCACCTTTGTGTGACATATAGAAGCTTCAGACATTAAGAAAAAGGTCTGTTTACTGACATTTTTCATCTTTAAAAAAGTGCCTATATTACCGACGGACATTTTTTACAGGTAGATAAACCAAAAACCTGTTGGAAAAAAAAATGCACTTTGAGATGAGGGAAATCATTTATGTACCACTCTATTCATGATTGATGTTACGAGGATAAATGTAATTCACCCCAGGAAACGCAAGCTCATTAAAACATACAAGTTGTCCCGCGAGGCCCCCCGGAAAACACTCCCACAACGTGTATTTCTTTCAACGGAGCGGATGAGATATGACGGTTGTGTTTGTCGTTTGTTATAGTCGGTGTGTTGCTGTAGCCTTTCCCCTGGCCGGCTGTGTCCACAGTAATCTTATTGACTCCAGTTAGTGCGGCCCGGCCCCTGATATCTCCAGCTCTGCTCTCCATAACCTTATAAGTAGGTCCCTGCACAGAGTCTCTTTTGTAATCTTGATAACTCGCTGCATGGCCGTGTGTGTGTGTGTATGTGTGTGGGCAGTGCATTAGGTCTCCCCGGGTTGATGTGCCTCCCGCCCCTGCTTCCCCATCTCGCTCCAGTCAGGCTTTGGGTTGCCATAGCAACGGCTCCCCTTCCACATGCCACAGAGTAGTAGATCATGCATCAGCAGAGAAAGTGATAGAGAGAAGCAGAGAGAAAAGAAAAGGGGGAAAGGAAATACCGAGCTCTGTTTGACATGGCCTCTCATATCTCAGCGACACACTCCTGAGCGCCACTGTTTACCACACACACACACACACACACACACACACACACACACACACACACACACACACACACACACACACACACACACACACACACACACCTCCTCTTATGTGCGTGTTTTATATCTCCACCTCCTCACGTTGGATTTTTCTCAGCAAAGCCCTTCTCTTTGTCTTTCTAATTCCGTCCCCTCCTGTTGATTTCCTCCCCTTCCTCCATCCACCTCGCTTCCATCCCATGTACAGTGGTGACTCATCTTTCCCACTGAGCCATGCACGCCGGGCCCCGCAGGTGAAAAGCCCGGGACACATGCTAAGGAGATGAGGTGACAAACTAAATGTGGGGGGCGTGGCGGGGTAGCATGGCAGCGCTGCCAAAGACCGACCTCACTCACTGAGATTGAGCTAAACATTTTACAAGCTGAAAGCAAGGAAAAACAACAACATTCGGCTCTGAAAGCGGGGCGCACTGAGGGAAGGGAATTTAAATACAGAAGAGGAGCGGTGTCTGTCCGCTTCTCCGTCTTTTTGTTTCCTGGAGAGAAAATATCCTCTAGGTTGTTTTCCCATGTCTGGTCAGTTGCTCTGCCTTTCTGTCTGCTTCCTACGTCTTCGTCTGCCTGTTTTCCTCAGAACCCCCCCCCCTCTCTGCTCTCCTGTTAAATGAGTTCCACATGGCCCTGCAGGCTGCAGTCTCCTCTCCGGCCGGCAGAGGAGCGGAGCAGACAGGCACACAAACACACTCGGTCCAAAAGTTCAAAGGTCACTCCCAGCAGAGAGACACAAGTGGCCTCTCTCTCAGTGAAACACCCCCCTCATCCCCCCCACCCACCTGTTCATTTGCCGTGTTGAACAGAGTACAGTCTGAGGGCAGGATGCATACTTATGGTGACCGACTGACTGGCTGCAGATTAGCTGGAGGGCTAACTGGCTCATCAATTTTGACACTCCAGCTGAGTGTCTAAGAGGCAGGCTGACTGACATGTGCAATGATTTATGGGAATGGTAATGGTATGGTAAACGTAATACACCTTTTTAACAGGGTTACAAACATGGGTCATATAAGGCTGAACTATGCATGTATTGTATATAGGGACTAATTGGAGGGGGGCCTCGTTCATTCAAATGAAGTTGCTCAGTGGCACATGAAGCCAAAATGGACTGAATCCGAGTATGATATTTTTTTTTATCTGTCAGTGATCTACAACGAATCCCCGCCTCTAATCCGCTCCGTTTAGATTTAGCTAAAATATATATATATACGCTGATGTCTCTTTTCCTCACTTTATGTTGCATTGACCAGAGTGAAGTATTTTGCAAACAGAGAAACACTCGTTGTTGATTATATTTTGTATCATTATTCTAAATATTAGTAGTGTAAATTAAAGTGCACTAGACGTATAAAGAAATAGGAAATTAATATGCTCAGTAGCTGTAAATGTTATTTCAGTACCAGAGTAAATGTACGTAGTTACTGACCACCACTGCCAGCAGGAAACCTGCTACTACATCACAACTGGTTAACTTCTTTTTTTCTATTGATGCCATTTTCCAGTATTTATGGAACACTTTCATATGATTTCTGAGTCTATGTCCCTAAACCTTTTTAAACAAATCTAATCTTTGACCTCCTGTTTGAGCTGAGTTGATTTGGGCTCCTTTGAAATCTCAAATGTGCCTGGAAAATCTAAAAGGGAACTCCAATGATTTTACCTGTGAAGTTGAGTTTTCTCGTCACGATGTGTTTTCATCTGCCAGTAACTGTAGCACTGTACTTGAATACAGATATAAGGTTCTTGTAGGTATTTCAGTTCATTTAGACTCTGTACTTTCCTACATGTTATGGTTTAAATGGGGGTTGCACAGCTTGGAAAAATGACTAATTGTGATTATATGTATTGATATTGACTGCATTTGCGATATGATTTGAATAATCTATTTGAAACATAATTGACATTATCATTTAAAAAGTGATTGATAAAAAGTGAATTTTCTAAGAGGATCGTTTGTAGGCCGAAAGCACCTCAATACGTGATTCAAATATTTTCACATATTTTGCCTTAACCGAAACGTTAACTTTAATTAACTGCATTATGCCAACAGGTTCCACATACTTGTATTAGGTCCGTTGAAAGCAATAATATTAAGTTTAAATAAAACAATATAAGGTTCAACTTAATATTTTGCTTTCAACTAACCTAATACAAGCAAGTGGAATATGTTGACGTTTAATTAAAGTCAATGCAATAGTTATTTCAGTGTAGTGTGCAAACTGCATTTTGCACTAATCCATAATGCGATAAAACTTTGATTGATTGTGAAATGAATTGTGCCATAGGTATAATACTGGATTGTTGTTACTGATGCATTAACATCCAAGCAGTTTTCTACTGTAGCTGCTTTAGGTAACATTTTAAAACTTGTGGGAAGTTTGACTTTTTGTAGAGAAATTGATTGTATCAAATCAAATCAAGTTTTATTTATAAAGCACATTTAAAAGCGATTTTTGTCGAGCCAAAGTGTAATAAAAACACTTTACTACTATCACAATAAAAGACAATCATTTACAACAGAAATATAAAAAACAAAAACACAGGGAATAGTCAGGTGTCATACTCCGCTCTGACTAGATGGCGAGGGAGAAGAAGTGTGTTTTAAGAGTAGATTTAAAACCCCTAGGGTCTGGGCCGACCTCACATGGAGGGGCAGACTGTTCCAGAGCCTAGGGCCAGCTGCTGCGAAGGCTCGGTGCCCTTGGGTTTTGAGCCTGGTCTGGGGCACTACCAGCAGCAGCTGGCCAACAGATCTTAAGGCTCTGGGTGGGGTGTGGCGATGGAGGAGTACGGCTATATAGAGACAGCCCATTTAGGGCTTTGAAAACAAATAAAAGGAGTTTAAAATCAATTCTGAACCGAATTGGAAGCCAGTGCAGTGAGGCCAGAAATGGGGTGATGTGGTCACGCTTTTTGTGGCTAGTCAGAAGATGTGCAGCTGCGGTTTGGACTAGCTGCAGGCGTCTATTGAGGCCTGGTCCATACCCACATACAGAGCATTGCAGTAATCCAGTCTCGAGGTAATAAAGGCGTTAATAACCCTTTCCAGGTCTTTAAAAGATAAAAATGACTTGGTCTTGGCCAATAGTCTTATTTAAAAAAAAGCAGGCTTTGACTACGGTGCTGACCAGCTTGTGAACATTTAAAAGTCCTATTGAAGGTCACTCCAAGGTTCGTGACAGAGAGGAGGATGTTTTCATTGAGAGAGCCCAGAATATCAACCGGAGAGGCTGGAGGTTGGGGTCCAAAAAAGATGACCTCTGTCTTGCTCTCGTTGAGGCATTGGATAGTAATATGTTCCTTACAAGATCAATTCATAACAGTGTAGTAGAATAGATGATGGGTAAAATGCATAAAGGAGCATACTGAAATACTCTAGTAAGTACCTTCAAATGTACTTCTCAAAACTGCCCATTAACAACATTTGTTGTAAGGTCTGATTTGTATTAACAATACATTAACTACAGCTATCTAGCTGCAAAATCTAAAAGCACAAAAGCCCAACCTTGTCTGCAGTCCGAGTAAAATATTCAGACTTTCCTGTTCTGTTAGTTTTAAAAGGAGTATCATTTTCAAATGTGACTCAAGAGAAGCAGGAACTCAAAGCGGTTGTGCTGTGCCGATATGCTGCAATCAAACATTTAGACAAATGTTTCTATTAACTTGGAAACAGCCCACCTCTGCAGTTGACAGGTTAATAAAGCTTCTAAATGAACGCATAGGGTTTCTCTTTTAAATTACAGCAGGTACTTAAATACAAGAGAAACACTTGGGAGAGATCCTGTATAATTTAGAGTTCCTGAATGATGAACTCTGGGCGGATGGTAAGGATTAAGGACGCAGCTGCCAGGCCACAGGGAGAGGCACATCTCACCCACCCCGGCTCTGAGAGCTCTGGGAACGGGAGATGGAAGTAATAACGGATGCACTAACAGCTCCGAACTCTTCCTGACAGCCCCCCACCTCCCTCATCTTTTTCCTTGTCTTTGCCTCTGGCTGTCTGACACAACTTTCTTTCTTTCCCCTCGCTGCCTATGAATGTCACGCCCGGCCATTTCGCACCCTTTCAAAAACACGTTTAAAAAAGTTTTCCCCGTGCTCTCCCTCCGTCTATCTTTCTCTCTGTCCCGCTCAGACGCATCACTCTCACATCGTCTAGAGGGAGTCCAGGTTTCCAGACACTCCTCACTATCCTCGGCTCCTTGACCATTACTACACCATTATCAGCTGCGATGGAGGGCGCGCCGCAGACGCCTAATGTATCCATTTCCCCCTCCATTTAGAAGTCGGCAGCCCAGTGAGCTCCTGGAGTGCTCCCTGATTGGGATTGAATGTCCATTTAAACTGCCGTCCAGCCACCAGGGAGGAGGCAGGGGGGGTGGGGGAGGAGAAGAATAATGGGAAATACAGGGAGAAGGAGGCGTACAGGAGTAAAAGTGTTGAATGAGGAAAGGAGGCAAGGGGATTGCCTGATTTGAATCAGTGTTCTCCCCCTTTCTTTTCTTTCTCTCGCTTGCTGTGTCTCCATCACTCCTTTTTAACTTTCAAACACGCCTCAGTCGGAAAAAAAGCTCTCCTCCTCTGGCGCCGAGCCAAGTGTCAGAACTCAGCACTCGGTATTCTCAAGGTGCGCTTCTAAAAAGAGGGATTTGGAATTGAGATGATTAGAGTTGGCATATCCGTAGAGAGTGGAAGGGAAGGGAGGGAGGAAGAGGGTGAGACAGACAGAGAGAGAAAGAAAGAAAACAGAAGAGGCAGGAGATCACACACACACACGTACAGTACAAGACTTGAGGTGAAACCGTACCTTGTAGGAGAACTCCTCCGTTCTTTCTGAAGAGGGGACTTCCCGACCACAATGGAGGACTAGAAAAGAAGAAGAAGGGATAAGGAGGGCAGGGAGGGGAGAGAAAAAGATAAAACTGGTCAACCATTTGATCATGTTGCAGCAGTCAAAGCAGCCCGGCGGGCTTCATCACGAGGCAGATAGCAAGGCAGGAATTTGAGCCCATAAGCCAGTGCTTCTGATTATAGTGATTAGATTCCCGGGTGTCCCACTGTTGCCATTATTCCCTGTGATTACCTCGGAGAATTACAGCCTCGCCGCTGTAGTCCATGGGGGTAATTTCTCATGACAAACCCCCACCGCCCGCCACTAGTCCATTCACACACATGAACACAGAATGAAAAAAAACCTCTTGTAAAACGCACACACATTTAACACTCGTGTCGCGAGTTTGAGACAGACACACACGCCGAGGAACACGCACTCACTTTAGGTGATCATTGCACCACTAATGAGGGAGGTAATGATGGCATTTCTCACGGAGGCATCTTCACTCATACGAGCGCACACACACGCGAGAAGACAATGGATACAGTTCTGCTGGTGGATCCATTATTTTTAAAAGGAGGAAGATGGAGGGATAGAGGAAAGGAGGAAGAGAGAAATAGGGGGGTGTAAGAGTTTTTCCAGGTTGAGTGGTCTTTAGCTCCACATTAGACAACACGTCTGACTGCTCCTCTCTTTTTCTCACAGGCTGTTCTCAAATCATTGTGTGTCTGACAACTCTTGGTCGTATGTACACACACACAAACACGTGCAAAGCAGACAAACAGGAGAGGGAACACCTGGGGACGCTGTGAACTCTGAGAAAAAAAAAGCAGCCCACTCGTTCCCACTCATCAGGAGAGTTCCCTTTGTAATGCGAGTCCTGTTTTATGTTGGGCTAAGCTGCTGAATGAGAGGATTTGGACGTCTGCACTTGTGATGTGGCTCTCACCTCACCAGATGCAAGGGGAGAGATGGACACACACACTCTGTCACTCTCACACACACACACACACTCTGTCACACACTCTGTCACACACACACACACACACACACACACACACACACACACACACACACACACACACACACACACACACACACACACACACACACACACACACACACACACACAGACATGCAGCGAACGCACATTTCAGCCCTGAGCCACCTGCTGTTGCCATGGAGAGTTGCCACATTGGGTTGCCACGGCGATAACATATTTTTCCTGCGCTAACAGCCTGTCTGTTTTCCCTACCACCCCACCCCCCCCTCTCCTTTTTCTCACTCTCTCCTCCCTCCTCCTCCTCC